GGGGGGTTTGGGGCAGATTAAAGAGGTTTTGGTGACGATTTGGGGCAGAATTAAGGGGTTTGGGGACGATTTGGGGCAGAATTAAGGGGGTTTGGTGGCAATTTGGGGCAAAGTTCAGGGAGTTTGGTGAAGATTCGGGGCGGAGTTGAGGGGTTTTGATGACCATTTGGGGCAGATTTGGGGGGTTTCGGTGAAGATTTGGGGCAGAATTAAGGGTTTCTGGTCAAGACTTGAACAGAGTTGGGGATGTGGTGAAGATTTGTTGCGGAGTTGAGGGGATTTGGTGACGGTTTGGGGCAGATTTGGGGGTTTTGGTGAAGATTTGGGGCAGAATGGTTTCTGGTGAAGATGTGGGGCAGATCTGAGGGGATTTGGTGAGGATTTGGGGGGGTTTTGTGAGGATTTAGTGAGGATTTGGGGCAGAATTAAGAGGTTTTGGTCAAGATTTGTGGCAGAGGTGGTGACTTGGTGAAAGTTGGGGCAGAGTTGAGGGGATTTGGTGACAATTTGGGGCAGATTTGGGGGTTTTGGTGAAGATTTGGGGCAGAATGGTTTCTGGTGGAGATTTGGGGCAGATTTGAGGGGATTTGGTGACGATTTGTGGGGTTTTGGTGAAGATTTGTGGCAGAATTAAGGGTTTCTGGTCAAGATTTGGGCACAGTTGATTTGGTGAAAATTTGTGGTGGAGTTGAGGGGATTTGGTGCTGATTTGGGGCAGATTTGTGGGTTTTGTTGAAGATTTGGGGCAGAGCGGTTTCCGGTCAAGATTTGGGGCAGATTTGAGGGGATTTGGTCAGGATTTGGGGGATTTGGTGAGGATTTAGGGCAGAATTAAGGGTTTCTGGCCAAGACTTGAGCAGAGTTGGTGATGTGGTGAGGATTCGGGGCGGAGTTGAGGGGATTTGGTGCCAATTTGGGGCAGATTTGTGTTTTTTGGTGAAGATTTGGGGCAGAATTAAGGGTTTCTGGTGAAGACTTGGGGCGGAGTTGAGGGGATTTGGTGCCGATTTGGGGCAGATTTGGGGGTTTTGGTGAAGATTTGAGGGCAAATTAAAGGGTTTTGGTGAAGATTCGGGGCAGAGTTGGTGACTTGGTGACAGTTTGGTGACAATTTATGGGGTTTTGGTGAAGATTTGGGGCAGAATTAAGGGTTTCTGGTCCAGACCTGAACAGAGTTGGGGATGTGCTGAAGATTTGGAGCAGATTTGAGGGGATTTGGTGATGATTTGGGACAGAATTAAGGGTTTCTGGTCAAGTTTGGGGCAGATTTGAGGGGATTTGGTGAGGATTTGGGGGGGTTTTGTGAGGATTTAGTGAGGATTTGGGGCAGAATTAAGAGGTTTTGGTCAAGATTTGTGGCAGAGGTGGTGACTTGGTGAAAGTTGGGGCAGAGTTGAGGGGATTTGGTGAAGATTTGTGGTGGAATTGAGGGGATTTGATGCCGATTTGGGGCAGATTTGTGTGTTTTGGTGAAGATTTGGGGCAGAATGGTTTCTGGTGGAGATTTGGGGCAGATTTGAGGGGATTTGGTGACGATTTGTGGGGTTTTGGTGAAGATTTGTGGCAGAATTAAGGGTTTCTGGTCAAGATTTGGGCACAGTTGATTTGGTGAAAATTTGTGGTGGAGTTGAGGGGATTTGGTGCTGATTTGGGGCAGATTTGTGGGTTTTGTTGAAGATTTGGGGCAGAGCGGTTTCCGGTCAAGATTTGGGGCAGATTTGAGGGGATTTGGTCAGGATTTGGGGGATTTGGTGAGGATTTAGGGCAGAATTAAGGGTTTCTGGCCAAGACTTGAGCAGAGTTGGTGATGTGGTGAGGATTCGGGGCGGAGTTGAGGGGATTTGGTGCCAATTTGGGGCAGATTTGTGTTTTTTGGTGAAGATTTGGGGCAGAATTAAGGGTTTCTGGTGAAGACTTGGGGCCTAGTTGAGGGGATTTGGTGGCGATTTGGGGCAGATTTGGGTTTTTTCTTGAAGATTTGGGGTAGAATGGTTTCTGGTGAAGATTCGGGGCCGCGTTGAGGGGATTTGGTGATGATTTGTGGGGTTTCGGTGAAGATTTGGGGCAGAATGGTTTCTGGTGAAGATTCGGGGCCGCGTTGAGGGGATTTGGTGATGATTTGTGGGGTTTCGGTGAAGATTTGGGGCAGAACGGTTTTCGGTGAAGGCTCGGGACCGCGTTGAGGGGATGTGGTGATGATTTGGGGGGGTTTAGTGAAGATTTGGGGCAGAACGGTTTTCGGTGAAGGCTCGGGACCGCGTTGAGGGGATGTGGTGATGATTTGGGGGGGTTTAGTGAAGATTTGGGGCAGAACGGTTTTCGGTGAAGGCTCGGGACCGCGTTGAGGGGATGTGGTGATGATTTGTGGGGTTTCGGTGAAGATTTGGGGCAGAACGGTTTTCGGTGAAGGCTCGGGACCGCGTTGAGGGGATGTGGTGATGATTTGTGGGGTTTTAGTGAAGATTTGGGGCAGAATTAAGGGTTTCTAGTCAAGATTTGGGCACAGTTGGTGATTTCGTGAAAATTTGTGGCGAAGTTGAGAGGATTTGGTGGCGATTTGGGGCAGATTTGTCATTTTTGGTGAAGATTTGGGGCAGAATGGTTTCTGGTGAAGATGTGGGGCAGATCTGAGGGGATTTGGTGACGATTTGTGGGGTTTTGGTGGAGATTTGGGGCAGAATCAAGAGTTTCTGGTCAAGACTTGAGGCAGATTTGGTGATGTGGTAAAGATTCGGGGCCTAGTTGAGGGGATTTGGTGGCGATTTGGGGCAGATTTGT